CATAATACTCCAAAAAAAGTGGTGTTATGAGTCATCAAACCTCAGAAATAGGTTTCCACAATTTTGGTCACTAGTGTATGGCAATGGGGCAGAAAAACAGAAGCTTCTTTTGTGAGGATACAAGAAATTGGAGGGCAGGTTCTGGCACAGCACTAGTTGCTATAACATGAAGTTCTGGCTTTACACCATTGTTCCTATAGTGTGATCAGATCCTACACCAGCCAAGAGAAGAAGAATTGGCTGGGTGTCCAATGCAGCTCCCCTCATGCTGCAATGAAGGAAATCACAAAAGCAGTCTGTCACAGGGAAAGCAGGCCTGGATAGACAGAGACTTATTATGTGAATAGAGTATCATCTATGATGTGTGGGAGTGTGTGAGAATGATACATTTATGACTAAGTAATTACCACTTGGTAATATGAATTGGCCTTTCATGGATTAAAAAAACTGCCCTAAGCAGTTGTAAAAACTAAACAGCTTGAGCACAGGGAGGAAAGAGAGCACCATAAGAAATATGTTAGCTGTTAACTCAAAAGAGAGGTTAAGGGGGAGCCATGCTGGAAGTTAGCAAGCAGAAGGCGTCTCGGAGTTTAAAGGAGAATTCACTGCTCATCTGAATTCTAGTGATAGGAAACATCTTTTGCGTTTGGCAGAGGCGAGTGTGTGTTTTGCACAACATCATACGCTATATTTAAACCTTGGGGAGAGAGGTTAGAGAGAGGAATACTGACAAATGGTTCTTCATGCCATTTGGAATGAACATAAAGATGTCTCCTGGCATCACTGCAGAGGAGATTTCCAGGTCTCCATATGGTTATTCTCCTGGCTGGATCCTGCAGAGGACAGATGCACAACATATGGAAAATTATATTTTAAAAATGGGGTGGAGGGGCAGAGAAACCAATCAATAAGGAAGCTCTGGGAATCACCCATATCAGTGCTATGTAAATGTGATATTATGTTCCTAGAACGTGGAGCCTGTAGCTCAGGCTTGTTGCTTTCTTCCTTGGCGATGAGCCTGTCCTTGACTGTGCTTGACAGCAAAAAGAGAGGGGGGTGGGAATCAGCAAATAAGAAGCTCCAACACATTCAACAATTGTGACCTTCCAGAGTTCACCTGCATGCCTCATACTCCACAGTCGTTCAGCCAAGGTACTCTCTGCTCAGCGAACCACAGCTCTTTCGAAGCATCTGTGGATTTCAAGTGGTTCCCTAACCATTTCAGAAATGCAAAGCTAATTAAAATTATGACAGAATTTCGTGCACCCTCACACAATAGGCGCTTAGCATGGTTTGTGAGCTGCTGAATGCCATCAATCTTCAAAAGGGGATTAAGAAGGAAATCTACTGTGCATTGGTGATCAGGGTCCTGTATGGTTAATTAAAGGTGCACCCAGGCTGGCAGGTTCTTCCTCCAGTGTAAACTGCTGCGCCAATTTACGCAAGTAGAGAAGAAGAAAAAGCTCAGCACCACATCCTGTGATCTGGCGCTGTTACTTCCCCACCTATAAAATGAGGAAGCTGGTTTGGTTTTTAAAAATGTATTTTGTGTTCTCATTGTGAAACACCCTGTGATCTTTGGATGAAGGGCAGTATACAAATTTATTAAAGAATTAAAACATGCCAATTGCCAGTGATCAAGAATCAATCTGATCACTTGCAAGATTTTTTTCACAAGGCAATCAAAGAGTGGGGAAGTAGCAAGCAATACCACAATTTGTAAGTTTAAGTTTGTGGTATCTCTTGTTGCATGGAGCAACGTCTTTTTTCAAGTCAGTCTTACAAGCAAGCCACTACAAAATAAGGAAAGTTTATCTGGAAATGCTTCCCAAATTGAAGCTAAGGCCATTTCTAGAATGCAGAAGTCCTTAAAAAGTTTACGTCACTGTAGATGGATCAAAACTGTAAAAGGGGGGGGGCAGCACCATTTGAAAGGTGACTTAATTGGGATTAATAAAATGTAGGTTAATGCAATTGCCTCTCTTTCACTTTTGGAGACCTAGATTTAAAGTAGGCTGCAAGTAAAAGGACTCTGGTTAATTTCAGGCTAGTCTCTAATGAAGATTATTCTGCTTCACAAAACCACCTTCGTCTAATTGGATAATGCCTTGCTGAGGACTCGCTCGCTTTAGAAGAGAAATTATGAGAATGGTTGTTGCTTGAAGTGCTTTTAGGACAAATTTGTAATGGGTGACTGCTTTTGAACTTTAGTGGCACTTTAAAATAAATTCAAAACTTTCCAGCAAAATAAAGGGAATGGGAGATGGCTTACAGAAATAAAGAGGGAAGTTTTAGACCGGACCACTCATATGAGGACTTCTTACATGGAATCATAACATTTTTTATGCAATATTATAATTTTTCAAGGTTGAGGGCACTGATTGGCAGCACATTATGAGCATTTTACAGCATAGCAATGCAACAAAGTGCTGACCAAAACCCCAGCAATTATTTCCCAATGAATAGGCATGTTACACGTGACTTGGCTTGAACAATAACCATGCTCTGGATGAGTATTCCTAAAGTTAATTTATCATTCAGAATGAAATTTACTTTGCTTAAATATCAGGGATGGTGTGGTTGCTCGAGAGCAAACAGGCAAGACTCCAACCTGTCTTTTCCAGGCTTTATTATCTGTACAAACTATCTTACAGTGCAGAGCGTCACAAGTCCATGTCTGCTCAGTCGCTAGCAGAATCTGGGAATGGGCCGTCCTTATACCTTCCCCAGCATAACAGTCATGTGACCCCCATCCTTCTCCTCCTCTCTCTGCACGCAAACCTACTGCGCAACGTGGGCGCTGGCAAAGGGGGACTTGCCTCCCCTCCGCTTTGCTCAGGCTCGGTGTTAAGGCTCTCCTTAGCATCTTCTGATCCCTGCGCCCCTTCCCGCTGGAGGCGGGGCTTCCCTCCTCACCAGAGGAAGAACTGCTCCCTGTAACACAACTGCTCTTCCACCTCTCGCCTCTGAGCTGATGGCAGTTCCCTGACATTAAGCTATCAAATAAGCCTCTAAGGCTAAAATTCTAACTACAACGGGTGGTATTCAACTAAATTTTACTCAGAGTACACTCATTGAGCTGAATGGACTTAAGTTAGTCATACCTTCTGTTGCTCAACAGGCAATGGCGTTTACACCTGCCTTGCCCCACCCTCCAGTCCTGGGAGCCTTTACCAGACCAAGACTTTGAAAACAGCAGAAACAGCTGGGAAGAGAGGAGTTCAGGGATATTTAGAAATAAATAAATTACCATTTGTGTGTCCTTGTTTCTCAGTTTGATCCTTTTATATGGTTTTGTATGGTTTTGTGGTATTTTGTGCATTGTGACTTGCTGTTATTTTTATTGATTATGGATTAGTAATTCTTTATTGTAACTGATAAGTGTAAAATGTTTAATAATTATATGCTGGTGTTTAACTTTACTGTTTACTAATGGATTCTAATGGATTCTTGAATATTGTTTTATTTGATATAAGTTGTTTATTTTAAAGTGATTGTGACTTTTTATATTGGATCAGATTGTTGCTATTAATGTTTGATGTTCTACAGTGGTACCTCGGGTTAAGTACTTAATTCGTTCCGGAGGTCCGTACTTAACCTGAAACTGTTCTTAACCTGAAGCACCACTTTAGCTAATGGGGCCTCCCGCTGCGCCGCCGGAGCACGATTTCTGTTCTCATCCTGAAGCAAAGTTCTTAACCTGAAGCACTATTTCTGGGTTAGTGGAGTCTGTAACCTGAAGCGTATGTAACCTGAAGCGTATGTAACCCGAGGTACCACTGTATTATGTTTTTATATGTGTTGGAAGCTGCCCAGAGTGATTGGGGCAACCCAGCCAGATGGGCGTGATATAAATAAAATGTTGTTGTTGTTGTTTCAATTAATTTTCAATTGTATGCTTTAAATATGACTAATATTGGATAAAACTCTGAGGAGTAATTGGGCCTCCACTGAACACAATAAAACATACCTAGAACTGTGATGTAACTCTTAGGTACATTGCACATTACAGCAAACTCTATGGAAGCAGTTCATCACACAAGTTATCCAAGTTTCCCAAAATCATTATCAATGGCTAAAAATCAGGTCTGTGATGAAACAATGTCCTAGTCCACACAATGAGCTGCTGGAATAAAACTGATGGAGTCACACTCTTACATGTATGGAGAGGGTGGGGAATGGAATTTGGCAAAATATTCCCACCCATCATTTTTGTATGTGACTGTCACCCATTTTGCTCTTTGTTCTGCACTAACAACACATGAATAGGATTAGTAGGTGGTTGCCACTGGTCCAAACACACTAATGGGTGTGGAATCGACCAAGATATCACAGAAACCACAGCACAAAAAAAGCAAACCATTGAGTGACTTGGCATTTCTTCAGCAATGGAGTTTACTCAATTCCTTTTGAACAATATTGTCACTACGGAAGACAGCTGCCTGGACACTTCCCTAATGGTTGCGGGTTCTGCCTTAAGTAATTTAGTCAAGGCCACAAAAATATGTTGGCAGAATGGAGTATTGAAGACAGATGGCCTGTGTCCTCCTAGCCACCCAATTCCTGTCTTTTGGAGGCAAAGTTAACATTGGTTTTCTGCAATATTTGTGCCTATAAAGTGTACTAAATTGAAGGATTTGCTGGAGAACAAACCAAGCAGAGAATGCCGCACATCCCGTCCACTTAATTTGAAAAATATAGTTTATTGTGCCAATTGAAATAATATTATATAAAAGCATTTCAACCTCTTAATCTTTGACTAAGCAACTTTATTAAGACTTCAGGATTTTCAGCTGTGTTTCATTATTCCTGCCCAAGTGGCAAAGCCCAGGTTTCGAATGAAGTCCACATGTGAATGAATCACAGTGTCTTCAAGGTTTGCCCAGCCATCTCACAGCGTTGGTGGCCTATGATGGAATGCCGCACTATGGGTAAGAAAGGTTGCTGAAGAATTCTGATCATCTAGAGCAGGGGTGGGAGACCCGTGGCCCTCCCAATGAGCCTGGCTAGCTCAGTTGGTTAGAGCGGGATTCTGATAATGTGAAGGTTGTAGGTTCGATCCTTGTATGGGACAGCTATATAGTCCTGCATTGAAGGAGTTTGGACTAGATGCCCTCAGGGTCTCCTCCAACTCTACAGTTCTATGAAGTATGGCTCCCATTGGCCAGTCACATGGCTGATGACTGGCCATGCTGGCTGGAGCTGATGGGAGTTGTAGTTTGACAACGTCTGGAGAGCCACAAGATTTGCGATTATGTTTTCCCCCATGTTGTAAGCTGTCTTGAGCATGATTTTAACTGTGGGAATATCACATACAAATAATGTGTGTGTGTGTGTGTGTGTGTGTGTGTGTGTGTGTGTAGAAAGAGAATCTGTCAATTTCCATATATTCATTTAGGGCTCCATCACTCTGCTACTACATGCAGGCTTGCATCAAGAGCAGGGGATGGAGTCAGGAATATGCAGTACATAAAGGTAAAGGTACCCCTGACCGTAAGGTCCAGTTGCGGACGACTCTGGGGTTGCGGCGCTCATCTCACTCTATAGGCTGATGGAGCCGGCGTTTGTCTGCAGACAGCTTCCAGGTCATGTGGCTAGCATGACTAAGCCGCTTCTGGCAAACCAGAGCAGCACACGGAAACACCGTTTGCCTTCCTGCCTTCCTCCGGAGCAGTATCTACTTGCACTTTGACGTGCTTTCAAACTGCTAGGTTGACAGGAACGGATTAATTTCGTCTTGCGAGGCACCACTGTATAAGGCGATCAGAAGCTCTCTAAGTTCTTCTCACAGAAGCCTTCAGCTAATGGGATACCACTAGATTTTATCACAGAGAAGGACAATGATATCCCTTCTTTAAGGATAATCAGGTTAGATTCCTGCATTTGACGCAGCTTTTTCTTTAGAGATGCCGAATCTATGGGCAACAAGCCATAACACAGTCATCAAAATTAGGGGCACATCTTTTATACATTTGTTTTATTGGCAGCTCAGGTTTGTTTGCTTTTAACTTTGGATATTCACATACTATTAATTGCAAAACTGTATTTTTCTATGCTTTTTATTTCTCCTGCATTCACACGAGAAGATCTGACAATGCTGCAAGAGGTAATACCTACACATTAACAGATTTACATGGATAGACGCATTTCTCCTATCAATATAGAATTGGCCGAATTTCAGAAACATCATATGAAAAATGCCTGAGACACAGTAGCAGTAACCCTCCCCACACCTTGAATATTCCCTGACATTTTGGTATTCACCCAAAATGTATCTTCTATTTCTCCTTTTGACAGTTTAAGTTGTGGCACAATTTTTTTAAAAAAAACTGCACCAGGATCTTCGCCAGGATATTCACTTTTTCTGATTTGGGGAAAATCTTTGCGTATTCCTAATATTCCTAGTATACAGCACGAATTAATAGGCCTTCTGTTATCTCTGTTACCTTAATTAACAGGTCTTCAGTTACCTCTTCAGTTTTTTACTGAGCTATGTTTGACTCCGGCTCCTGATACCAACCTCAATTAATTTAACTTACTGCTTTAAATGGGAATGTTGCCCCATTGCAGGAGAAAAACACAAATGGGGGACATCTACAAAAACTAGTTCAAGCACAAGTCACGTCACAATTGCAAATCTCTTTACGTGGGGCTGCCTCTGAAGACAGTTCAGAATTGTAAACAGCCCTATATTTATTTAATAATATATATTTTTGCCTCAAATCCACACCTGTGAGAGTTTTCATTTCAGTTTCCATAGACTGGAAGTCATGCAGGTGGCTGAAACAGCTACTATTTATAGATTGAGTAATTACTTTTGCTAGGACAAACTATTCCCAGTCAACAATTAATAAATTTACATTGAACTCCTTATTCACTTCAGACCCCATTAATTTCACTGAAAGTTAATGGTAGTTTTGTCATTGAGTTAAGTCAGCCTACTAAACATGTGGTCCCTCAGCTATGGACCAATTATCATGAACTAGGCTATGATTTTTTTCCCCTGATTTTTTTAGATGAAGAAATATGTCTTGGATTTCATTGCTTTGCTTATAATAGCATTCGGAAACTTAGGAACCTTCAAGGCCATTTTGAGCAAACCATGCTCATCACCTCGACTTTAGGCTCTGCCACCAACCATGGCAGACAACTGCATACCACCATTATAGCTGTGATTCAGTTGCTGGAAGAAGAATGGCAGCTGCATCCAGGACAAGAAGACAGAGAACAGCCAGAAAGCAAAGTTCCCATCGTCTCAGATGTCAGCCACAAATCCTGCTACACATCAGCCCATCGGCACCCAAGCTCAGTGCATCATATGGACCTCCCGCATATGAAGCTTACTCTCCTCTACATAAACCATGAAGCCAGGTCCTTCTCCTGCAAAGCTAAGGATACCTACAAGGCTCTGCACAGGGTTTGCAGCCTGTGACTTGGTATGAGAGGTGGTTGTTATGTATTCAGTGGTCTGTGTTTGCCTGAGCTTGAGTCTGGACTAAGGATGCTGAGCTCCTGTGTTCTGATTCAATACATGATGTCCAATCACAGAACATTTCAGGATTTAGGCCTCTCTCATTGGCCCTTAAACTCTAAGTCATGATTCGCAGCTTGGAAGTTTAGACAGCCAATCACGTCAGGAATGGGAGTGGCCCAGGCCTTCAGAAATGTATATAACCAGTTGCTTTGCCCCTGTTGCCCAGTTCTGCTAGTTCAATGAAGGTTCTTACTGTTATCACTGTGTCTTGCTTTGTGGGAACCCACCTACACTTCAGTGATAACACCCAAGACTTCATAAGTAGAAGGTTGATCTATGACTCCCCATGTGTTTAGGACAGAAGTGGGAAAGTCCCCTTCTATCATATGTGGTGGACTTGTAAAAGAGTAAAAAAGGATTGGGAAATAATTCATAATGAATTTTAAAAAATGTTTTAAAGTACTTCTCAAAAAACAAAACAAAAAACAGAGTCCTTTTTGTTGGGGGATAATTCAGATGGAAATTCCCAGTTGTCAGAAAAGGTTATTTATGTATGCAACTGCTGCGGTCCGTGTTTTGTTAGCCCAAAAATGGAAAATGAGCAAAGTCCCAGATAAAGAATAATAGCTTCCACGCCCTCTGATTCCTAGATATTCTCTGCATAAGTTTAACTTCATGGGGGATAAGGCCATCAATAGCTATTAGTCACTGGAGACAGCATCCTTCTGAATACCTGCTGGAAACCAGAGGAGGGAAGGGTGCTGCTGTGCTTGAATCATATTTGCAGGTTTTCCACAAGCGTCTTGGTGGCCACAGTCAGGGGCGGAAGAAGGGGGCGGTGGCCTGCCCTGGGTATCTTCGGGGTGACATTTGGCGCGCCTCCCGCCCACAACTCCCAAGCCTACCCTGAGCCCTTGGGGGAAGGGGGGCTGCGCCGCTTTGCCAGCAGCATTCCCCCTCCCCCTTCATTTTGACAGCTGGGGGGAGGCTTGGGAGTGGCGCACTGAATGTCCACCCTCGGCGGCTCGCTCCGCCTCCATGGGCGGCCCGCTCTGCCCCCAGCTGCAGGGCACATACACCGCTCCGTGCACCCGAGCGGCTACCCCTCACCTGGGAGGGCACCCTCCGTGCCCCACCCCCCTCAGGAGCATGCCCCGCCTCCCTCGGGAGCGCGCCCGCCCTGGGCAGCGCAGGCATATGCTCCACCACTGGCCACAGTGAGAATGGGAAGCTGGACTAGATAACCCACTGACCTGAAATACAGCCAGTGGCGTAGCGTGGGGGGTGCGGGGGGGCCGGCCGCACCGGGCGCAACATCTGGGGGGCGCACTGATCTAGTGTAAGAGACTCGAGTGCTAAAATCCACGGGTTAGGGGGCGCAAATTACTTGCCTTGCCCCGGGTGCTGACAACCCACGCTACGCCACTGAATACAGCTGAACATGTTAAAAAAAAATGGAGGTGGGCAGCCTCATTTGTGATGGGCCCTCTGGAGCCTTGGGGCCCCAACATTTCCTCCACCATTTTAGGTGCTGGCTCTGGGCTTGTAGGCCTGGATGCAGATACTGATATTGCACTGAGTCACAGCCAATATGTGGTGCTGCAATTATCCAGAAACTAGCCTCATCTTGAGTCAATACATACATTATTTTTATTAGCTGTTTATTAGTTGGCGATTTGATGGTATTTTTAACTGATTAATCTATGGATATAATATTATTTTATGGTATGTTATGAGTGACGCTGAGCACATAAGCCCAAAAATTTAATTACAGCATGCATGAGATAAATGAAGGCAAAATAATCTAAAAATATTCAGCTCTTACATTAGCTGAAGGTGCTTTTTTTTTTTTTGAAATCCAATATTCTTCAGAATTACTGAGCAAAAATTAAATCTTTTTTCACCTTCCACAGACTTGGGAGAAAATATAACCTTGGAACTGTATTCAGCCTCATGGATAACGGAAAAAGAGGGAGGGAGGGAGGGAGGGAGGGAGGAGAGGAGGAGGAGGAGAGAGGGAGAGAGAGAGATTAAGAAGGGCAGGAATGGGATATTTCCCTAAGGAGGCATAAACAAAATAAAACTCTTAAACCAGATACTAGATAGGGAAGAAATGAAAAAGCAAGTGGGAACTAATTCCTAGTCTTTTACACACATTTTGTGCGATGATCTTTTTTGAGTCTCAAGCATTAAACCTTTTCTTTTAACATCTACTTCGATGAGCTTCACTACCCAAAACACAATGATGTCATATTACTGAAAATGTGCGACCACATCCAAATTGGCAGCAATTTGCAAACAAGTTAGATTGAATTCATACGGCTATTTAAAAGCAAAATAAAGCCTTTTCTCTTTCCACTGGCATCTGAAAGATGGTAACATCTGAGAAATCCATTAATGCATGAATGTAACAGAAAATGCCAGCTTGACGTTCCTCAGTATATCTGCTGGGGGTAAATTTTACATTTTTAGAGCCAGATGAAATAAGGTTGTTGCTTTTTTAAAAATAAAATAAAATAAAATAATCTAGGCCACCAAATAGCTGCGAATGCTGTTTTCTACCTTGGAAGCTGCAAACCAATTGATCGCTGTTAGCTGAGCATTTTGGCCGAGTCGCCTCCAATCCGAAATGTGCTCTATTTAATTAAGTATTCAGTGTGCATTATTTGCAGATTTAGTTCAGTTCAAGCTGTTCCGAAGCTCAACTGTTGTCTTAGTGACAAGAAGAATTATGCTTCTGTGAGTGCCTAATGCAGTGAAGAGATGACAGTTAAACTCAGCACATCTGGTGAGGCAGCCTAAATGGTTGAGCCTTATCTCCAGGAAAGCAACAACCTCCTGCAAGACGGCAACTTAAAGTCGCACACCAAGGAAAGCGGCAGACAATGAAAAGAAAAGAAAAACCGCCCCCACCAAATGAAAGTCATTTCAAGTTCCACCGAAGAGTCAACTCTCTGGGGAGGTGAAAGGAACAATTCCTCAACTTTCACAATGCGTTTGAGTGCTGTGCAGTTGGGCTTCTGTTGAAGGTGAGACGTTGTTATGTAAGGTCATTCTCTAATTAGAATGAAGGAGACTAGGTTTTTGGTCCGAAGAGTTATCTGTTAATGGGACCAGAATGAACGTTGTTGTTTTCTAAAGTCACCTAAAAGACAGTGGCCACGGGGCCAAGTAGCCAGCCACACTTTTTGGCAGGGAAATTGCAGGTTAGTGGCCCAAAATGGCTAAGAAATAGCAGGAGATGCCTTTTGGAATCAAGAGTAATTTGGGTGAAGATGATCCATCTTTCCCCACACTCAGCTGAGGCCTCTCTATTTGATGAAGAAATTCTTTATCTCTCTTAAATAGAAGAGACTTGAGTTTCACTTTTCTCAATCTCTCATTCTTCCCAGTCTTACCCTGAATTTGTCACATAGGTGCCAGCTTCCTGGGGCCCTGGGTGCCCAAGCACCCACAAAATTCCCCATGCAGGGGCTGGGCACCCACAAATTTTGGCACCAGGGCCATACACACTGCATGGCACCCACGCCGCCAGGCACCATGGTCGTGGGGCCAAGCTGGCACTCCTGATTAACTACCTTTCCACATCACTATCCAATTTTTAATTTTAAAAAAGTTGTTACAAAAACTTGTCTGCAATTTTGTCTAATATACACATTTTTGTAAGCAGTTTCCCTTTAAAATAATGCATTTTTGTGCATTATTTTCACTTATATATGCATTTTAATGGACACCCTCCCCTAATATGCATATTTTTGGACACCTTGTTTGGTTGGGAGAACTATATTACAGAATCTAGAGAAGTGTGAATGTGAGAGGACATAGCTGCGATTTGGTTCACATTGGTTTGGGAAGTCTGAATTACATGGGTTCACGTTCTAGTATAAATCAAGCCATAATTTCTCCCCCTGATGTGGGGCAGTGAGCTGCCACTTTCCAAGAGTGTGTTATTGTTTTGTTTTGTTCCTGTTCTTGTTTTTATTGTGATCTTTTGTGCGTTGATTCTGATAAGGAAGATCTACAGGGTTAGATTCTAAATCCCGATAAGCATTATTGCCTTGAACTTGTTACTCACTATTTTCAAAGCTTATCTTGCCTATATTAATTACCCACAACATCAGTCAGACAATCCCAGTTAAGACACAAGCACTTATTGTACAATCAGAAATAGCCACCCATTATGTGTGGAAAAACTTGAGTCATTCTTTGAAAAATCTTGATACATGGATTTAGAACGTAAGTGTCACAAACCCTGTTAGAACTGCCAAAAACGTCAAAAAGTATATAAGGAATCATACTGATAAAAGAGATGATGGAGAGAGATGATGACAAGCTTTTGAAAATGCATTACAGTTCATGACTACAAAAATTAATAGGAATATGCCGGTTGAATGAATGCCAGTTACCAAGGAAACAAAAGTGATGTACACCCTAGAAAATTTCTGCTCCCAGTATAATTATTTTAAATCTTTGCTTTTCCTATACCATTTGCAAAATATACAATTCATTAAACAATGTTCCAGGATGTTTAAACAACTCTTCCTTTCTTCAGTTCCTTAATAAGATATACTCTAAATTTAATGAGGTGTGCTAATCTCATTATGTATGCAACATCCCCTATTTTTGTTACATCAAAGCTTCATTAATGACACTTGCTTATGCACCCAAAATATCCTTGTTAACCATTTCCCTGCTGCTAATGAACTAAACACGATTCCTTTCTTGCTTCACGAAAGGTCTTTGCACCAGTGCTCAAATTATAGGGGAGAAGCTAGAGGGGTCCTCAATGACAGACACAAGCCCAGCCCCCTGACTCCCCACAATATCAGCCAAAACTTGCCTGTAGCATGATTCTGAAAAACATACAAAAAACCAGTAGCTAGGATAGCTACCAAAAAACCCACCGGCTTTCCTGTTATCAGGACCAGCCAAAATGTTTTGCTGCCAAAACAGAGCAG